TAATTGAAAAAAGAAACTTTAAAAGATGAAGCAGGGGACCTAAAATCGCATTCGTTATGCGAAGCATGGTCCCAAACTTCGCTAAGCGAAAATCGCCCATAGGAAACATCATTATACGGTGCATATTCTTTTCTTAAAAAACACATCGTTATGCAAATTCATCGCTAAACGAGGCAATCGTTAAGCGAGGCACCACTGTACTAGAAATTACTTAGGGCCCTTCCTTGGACCCCCCTTTCTTTCCTCCCCCACCATTTCTGGCTTTTCTACTGACAGATCTTAACCAGCACTTCTACCTATGTTTTCCTAGCAGATGACTATGTTGGCAGATTTCTGAAATCAGCCAGCAGAGGGGAATTTCTGTCAGAAGAAGAGACTGGAGCCTAATGCTACCCACTCTGCAGCTGGCATAGGAGAACTGCTGGATAGCTCAGTGGTTTAGGCGTCTGGAGTTCGATTCCCCACTGTGTCTCCTTGATAGGGGCTGGTCTTGATCTCAAGGATCCCTTCCAGCTCCAATCTCCTGTGTCAGGAGTATGATTCCCCACCCAACCCTGACACTCCAGATATACAGGGCTTCTGTTTTGGCCATCATACATATGACTACTCCCAAAGTAAATATTGGCTAAAATTCAGTAGTAAGTCACAACTAGAGTAGGACCATTGAATCAGTGGGGATTTAGTAAGTTAAACCTTGTGTAAGAGCCATTGATTCAGTGAGACTCCTCTGGCTGTGATTTACTGTGGGATTTCAGCCAGTAAATACCAAGGATTAACTTACTTTGTTGCCAGCTGGAAAGGCAGTGGCAACTTTCAATGTAGACTACATGCTGCTTTTTTAAAAAAATTGCTTGCTAAAATGTTCGTGCTCATATTTCCATTTCTTGCATGGTAACACAGTTCTCTGTGAATGTTTTCCCTTACTATCCACAGATCAGTTACATGCCTGCAGGTCATTCAGTGGATTTTGATTTTACAAGGAGAGGTTTACTGGTGTTTGATGCTGACCGCCATGCTCTTGTTGATGGGAACCGCTCTGCCACTGTCTGCAATAGCCAAGTGACTCCTGTGATTCCAAAGCCTGCAATGAATGAATTCAGTTTGGCAATCCAGAGGATGGCAAAGGTAAAGACAAAACCTCACTGGTGTAGAGCAGTAGTCCCCAACCGTGGGCCTCCAGATGTTCTTGGACTTCAACTCCCAGAAATCCTGGCCAGCAGAGGTGGTGGTGAAGGCTTCTGGGAGTTGCATTCCAAGAACATCTGGAGGCCCAAGGTTGGAGACCACTGGTGTAGAGGGCATATAATTTAGTTTACATTGTGGTTATAGATTACAGTTGTCATTGCAGGGTTTCCAGTCATGTGAAGGACTGTAACTGTATTTGAATAAATATGAATCTCTCTTTAGACCTTTTTGCTTAATGTAGAAATATGAATGATAGAGATGGCGAGCTAAGCTTCTCTAGGATTATTGAAGCCTGAAAAGAGCCGATGTGGTGTGGTGCTTCTGGCTGTGAAGCCATCCATGCCAATTGGCTAAGTGAAGAAGTATGTGATTGGAAGATGAGCTCTCTGAAGAGGGAAAGGTCACCTGTTTATCCTAGCATGAACTTGCCCCAATCTGCATGTTGATTATTAGCTTGCTTTTGTTTTGAAATATATTATTGGAAAATAAACATAGGCTTCATTAACATGTTCGATTGTTCAGGTAGATTGCATTGCAGGAGGGAAAACATTGAAATGCTAGGAAATACTCATGTGACTTTGATCGTGAGCATGGGACACTCCTACAACTTAGAGAACAAAGATATTTATGACTGAAATTCAAAGTCCAATTTCTGTGAGAAAGGATACATACCAGTTTTGCTCACATCCAAATCCTGCATAACAGTCAGTATGGGAAAGGTAAAAACTGAAAAGGGATTGAGGGCTCCTTCTCTATTGAAGTTATTTTGAAATGTGTGATAAGGGCTACAGGCCTTTCAGATGATGTTTGTTTGAAGCAATGCTTCAATGTATGAAGCATAGTATTAAAAACAATATGAGGTGGAAGGTGCCCATTATTAATGGTATGTTCAGTAATGAAATTACAAAACTTCTCCTGAATCTGCACAGAATTCCCGTAGCTTTTGAGGCACAAATAAATATTTTCAGACTGTGGATAACTGCATCAGCGGATACTGGGGTCCTACTGTGCATGGCTCTGTGACTCGCTACATGACTCCACGTGACCACTGACTCCTGAAAAAGAGTTGGAAAATAATTCTTGAGAAAATTCTCTTCAAAATCTGAGGCAGGGAGGGAACAGTTGGTTGCTGCTGGATTGATTGACAGTTACCCCAGTCCAGCAAGGTCCGTCCCCAGCTGAAGCCTCTTAAAGGCAGGATATGAGGGTTGCAGTAATTTTAACAGAACATGTTGTGGTCCAGATGTTGTTGGACTGCAATTCCCATCATATCTCACTACTAGGTATGCTGCCTAGGGCTGATGGAAGATGCAGTCCAATGGTAGCTAGAGGAGAGGACATATTTTCCAACCACTGTTTTGAAGATTCTGTAGTCCTTCATGACACAGAACATACTCAAGAGCAGTGATTCTCAACCTTGGGTCCCCAGATGTTCTTGGACTTCAACTCCCAGAAATCCTGGCCAGCAAAGCTAGTGGTAAAGGGTTCTAGGAGTGCTAGTCCAAGAACATCTGGAGGCCCAAGGTTGGGGACCACTGCTCTAGAGCAGTGGTTCTCAACCTTGGGTCCCCAGAGGTTCTTGGACTAGCACTCCTAGAACCCTTTACCACTAGCTTTGCTGGCCAGGATTTCTAGGAGTTGTACTGCATCTGCAGACGGTTTTAGAGTGTTACCCACTGTTAAACTCCATAGTGAAGTTTCAGGAGCTGTAACAGTGATGGGCAAAATGCCCTATTCCAGGTGTTACTTGATTGCAGCTCCCATCTGCAGAGCCAATGGTGAGGAGTTCTGGAAGCTGCAGAACAACAATATCTGGAAGCCTAAACTTTGCCCAATCCTGAGCTCTAAAATGTGTCTGAGATGAAGAGGAGAAATTGAGAAGATATTACTCTAATTCCAGCAAAAATTCTTCATGCCAGGTCCCCAAGTTTGATAAGCTGGTTATCTTTGTATTGTTGGTATAGTTTGGACTTATTTGGCTATTTATTAGATTTATACCCTGCACCATCTGGCAACCAGGCCACTCTGGGAAGCTAACAACAATATAAACAGCAATATTAAAACACAACAACAGCAACAACAATAATAATAATACATAGCCAACAGGATAAACTTTTCCTTCACACTTAAACTATGAATATGTATCTCACCAAATGACTCAGTCAATAATAGCCAACATATAAAATCAAAATTATAAACAAAACAAAAGGGCAGTTGAAAGCAATACTTCCATATGTATTCGCGAAGGCTTTCATGGCTGGGATCTAATGGTTGTTGTGGGTTTTTCGGGCTCTTTGGCCACGTTCTGAAGGTTGTTCTTCCTAACGTTTCACCAGTCTCTGTGGCCGGCATCTTCAGAGGACAGCTCTCTGTGCTCTGGTGTAGTTGGCTAGGGAGTGCAGTATTTACTTCCATATTTTCCCCCAGTCACTAAGTTTATTAACCAGTCAGGAAATTATTCAACTTTCTGTTCTGGGCTTTGATCAGACCATGAAATCTCTCTACTCTTTCTCCATTCAGGAAAGATGGTACCTTGTTGTGCACAGCTGGCTTTCACTTTCTTTTTAAACTCTATTCTGAAAAAAGGCAAATAGGCATGCTGCATCTGGTCCTGACATGAGTGATGTGTGGAGTATAGTATAGTATTCTACTATACTGGATGATTTTTTTACATTGTAATGCATAAATACAAGCTTCTTTCTTGATTATTTTATAAAAGGAACCATGCTATTTATCAATTTGTGTCCTTGGAAAATAGAGACAACTTATTTGTAACTTTCTTTTCTTTTTAAATTAGGGCAGACAAATAGAACATATACATATAGAGAAGCCATTTCATGGAGGCCTTGGATTTAGTGTCATTGCACTTAAAAACCAAAGTGTTGGAGATGCTGGTATCTTTGTCAAGGAAGTTCAGCCAGGAAGCATAGCTGCCAGGTGAGGTTTTTGCTTTGTTTTATTGTTAAGCTTCATCAAAGTATCCCCAGCGGAATGAAGGAAAGATGTTTTTCTAGTCTTAAATACTCTTGGAAGTGCCACAATACAAGCTTCAGGGCCAATTTTCAAGCAATTTTCAAGCAACTGTTAAAAACTTGGCTTTTCCGACCGACCTTCCCAGACCTTGCAACATAATTACAACACCTAATTACAGTGAGTGGCCTCAACATTTATACTATCAATCGTGTTGTCATGCTCTATATTATATTATTTTAACTATTTTATTTAAATTGTTTGTTGTTTTAACTTTATTTTGATTTTATATCATTATGTTCATTGTTGGCATAGTGTATGTTTTATTTGTCTAACATGTAAACCACCCAGAGTGGCCTAATAGCCGGATGGACGGTATAGAAGCCAAATAATATATTATTTGGTGGTGTGAATGACAGTGGCCCCATGTGTTGCAGCAGAAGTAGTTAGTGGACAGCTTGGTTCTGGGGGAAGGGTCTAATTGACCTGGTCACCTGTAGTGATGATGTCTGTATTCTTCTCCCCCAGGAGACAAATGCAAATATCCCATCTCTAGTCCATATTATTAAATCCATGTCTAGAGTTTATATTGCACTTAGAGGTACTAAGAAATGGCTGTGTGCATTCTAATACAACATTACTCTAAGATCTTATTTCCATATTACAGGTGGTATGGGTATTCAGAGGTAGTCTGATTTGTAAGGCCAACCAGCAGATGTGGCTCACACTTTATTCAGTACTCTACTGTGGCCAATCTTACGGGCTATAAGAGAAAGCAGTTACCTCCACCTCCACTCCTGTGGGATGTCTTTGTTTCACTACTTTTTTGAGAACTTGGATGAGGTTACTATAGAAATTTGTTTGTGCTTCTTTAAGGGATCAGAGATTAAAGGAAAAAGACCAAATATTGGCCATTAACCATATCCCATTGGATCAGAACATTTCCCATCAGCAGGCAATTGCATTACTCCAACAGTCTATGGGGTCATTACATTTGATCGTGGCCAGGGAGGCAACCCAAAACAGCAGTGGGACCCCATGTGCCTTAAGTGATGTTAAGGATGTTAAATTACCTGAAATGGTAAGCTAAATGGCTATTTTATCATATATCATTGTATTTAACAGATTGAAATTTTATACTTGTACTGCATAAATTTAGAGCTGTGTTTTCCCATGCATTGAATATAAGAATCAAACTGAACATTCAAAAAAATTATATTTCCAGATAAGCACATTGACTGCAATATTCTTTAAAATACATAGTACATACCTGGTAAAACATTACTATAATGGATTTAGTCCACAGACCATTTGCTGTTCAAACAAAGAAAAAGAGTGACATACAAGAGCTACACAGTAATATCTAAGCATGATAACAATAAGAACAAAGTTTATATACTTGGTAATTTGATCTACTTTTTAAAACTATATTTAAAAACATTGATTATATTTGATTTTACAATCCTAGATAGCAGGGATTTATATTTTCCTGTATGTAACTGACTTTTATATGTGCAAAAAGTGCAAATAGAGTAGACATTTCTAAAGTTACTGTATCATCCCTTTTTGGTGCTTTGCATTCTCTCGTATTTACATATGGCCACACTAGCAGCAGGGAGCAAGCTAGGGCAGGCTGTTTTGAAACAGTTGGGCCTTGCTAGATAGATCAAACCTGACCATTCATAGGAAATGGGTCCTGCCAGTATCATGAAGTGGTTTTATAAGCGAGCCACTTTAGCATATTGGCAAATTAATCACTTCCTTCGTCAGAAGAAGGCTAGGGAAGTGAATGTATTAATAAGCTTGTTTGTTTTTAAGTGCCACAGGAGGACCCAAAACTAAAACATTGTGAGAATTGGTGTTTGTTGTTTGTTTGTTTTGCTCCAGAGCCTGGAACCTGAGTTTTGTTTTCTCTCTTTTCCAGGTCCAGTGGGGACACGTTGAAGAAGTTGAACTTATCAATGATGGCTCAGGATTAGGATTTGGAATTGTGGGTGGAAAATCAATTGGTGTAGTGGTAAGGACTATTGTTCCTGGAGGACTAGCAGATAAGGTAATTTCATTCAACTACCCTACGTCATCTTTTTCATCAACTCAATGGATAGTTTATGTTGCTAATTCTAAGAAAAACCAAACTGTTAATTAAAAGCTGGGTCAAAAAACCATGAACTAGTTCAGGTAGGTTAGGTAGGTAGGGTAGGTTAGGTAGGTAGGGTAGGTTAGGTAGGTAGGGTAGGTAGGTAGGGTAGGTAGGTAGGTAGGTAGGTAGGTAGGTAGGTAGGTAGGTAGGTAGGTAGGTAGGTAGGTATACATACTGCCCGTGTAGCCTAAGTCCACTCTGGGTGTTTCACAACATAATCAAACCATAGAACAATACTACAAATATAAAATAAAATCAATGTAAAAAAACCCCATAAAATAAAACAATAATTAAACGATCACAAATAACAATTACCATACGCATTAATTGTTTAAAAGGTGGTAGAATTGACTCATTGACTAAAACGTTCAACAAATTCCCATTGATGGAAATGCTTGTCTAAACAACCAAGTTTTAAGAAACTTTTTAAAGGTCATTGGTGAAGACTCAAGGTGGATGTCTGGGGGTAGTTGATTCCAAAGTCTAGGTGGAAACCACCAAGGAGGCTCAATTCCTAGTCTTCTCCCTTCGGACCTCTTTTGGGGACAACACCCTCAATCGTCCTGCCTGGGACGAATGGGTAGGATGTACAGTTCTTGCTGGAAGGAGGAGTTTTGTCAGGTTCCAAGGTCCCAAACTGTTTAGGGCTTTATATCTTAAAACCATCACCCTGAAGTTGGTATGGAAGTGGATAGGTAGCTAGTGTAACATTGCCGGGGCTGGGGAGGAATGTTGATATTTATTGACTTTACCCACTAGCCTTGCCACCATATTCTCTTTCCTTTGGTCATTTTCATGTTCTCTCCTTGTGCAACAGAGAGCAAGGGGATGCATGTTGGCAGAATATTGTGCCTACAAGTGTTTAATTGGGTTCTGCCAGCGATTCTCCATCAGGGTTTGATTTCCTTGTTTATTAGGGCATATTCCTGAGTTCTGGGTGAGTACCCCTTGAAGTTCCCCTGCTATATTAATGCTTATGATAATACATATAGGTCAATAATGTAAAGAAGGCACTTGTATGATCATAAGAGTTGTGGATCTTCATGCAGGAGTTAAGCTGCTACCTAAAGATGTGGAATGTAGTCTAATGAATGGAACTATCATCCTGGGTGCTCCAGATGATCACTTTGATTCTCTGGAAAGGCTTTCGCTTGAGCCTCTTTGCTGCCATGCAAGAATTCTATTTTCCCCCCAAAAAATGTTAAATAAATTGGGTACCTCTTTGTGGCTACGTAGAAAACTGTGCTTCATTTTATTGATATTAATGAATAGAACAGGAAATTTGTCAGTTCATAAGATAAATGAAAACTGGAGCTGAGATTCTAAAACTGGCTCTTTTACCTCCCCTACAGAACTGTCTGATATAATGAATGCTTTTTCCCTTGTGTCTTTGGAACACCTGTTTTTCTGTAAGGAACAAAATGTTTTGGCATCCAACATCATAAGTCATGTTGTCAAAATTTACAACAGTCTTGAGTGACCAAGAATGCAAGTACAGTAAGAGAAGAGAGAGAGAGAGAGAGAGTAATAATGATGAATTAGGGAAGAAAATATTAAGAGATTACAGTGACTCAAGAGTCTGCACAGACTAAGATATTTTGTGGAGAGCTTGCTTGTGCAAGTAGATGCTCACACAAATAACTTCTTCATATAGGCAACGGAATATTACAGAAACTCTTCTTTTAAGTGAGAGTACTTGCTTTAACCCTCCAGCTCTCAGAAATAGCTGCTTCAGTCTAGTAAGAATAGTGTCACACACGATGTCCCTAACTGAAGTCCCTGACTCTAACTCATATCCCTAACTGTCGTCCATTCTTCTTATAGTTCCTTAGTCCTGCCTCTTCTGATCAACCATTGGTGGCTACATCAGGGTTCCATTGTGATGGACAGGAGTGGTTACTGACCTGTCCATCACAAATAGCTCTTCCAGTGTCAGACTCATGTGTAAAGTAGTCTTGTAGCTGTTAGTGTATGCAAACTTTGAAAAAAAATATCTCTGCACTTGTTTGGAATTAAACTCATGAACGAAGCTAGAAACAACTTATGCAGGAAAAGAATCTCCCCCACCCCACCCCGCCCATGAAAATTTCTCACTTTTAGTGTGATTTTATCATGGCCTTGGAATCCAGTCAGCATACATTTTTGTGATGTTATATTCACATAAATGTACTTGAAGACTTACTCCTTTAGTTACTTTCACAAAGGGTAATCCTGCTAGTAAATACTGTATACTGAAACTCTGTAGAACCCCTTGGGTTAAATCCATAGTTAATGAATGTTGGCATAAGCCCTTTGAAATTAGTGATACTGAAATTAGTCATCATAACTAAGTTCCATTTGAGTTTAGTGGTTCTGGGCTATGACCCCTTTGGATTTAAACTCTTAATAGTAAATAGTATAGTCATGAACAAATTAAGAAAGTTCTCCAGTAACATTGAGTTTAAATCAACTCAGTAACTTTATAGACCAATTTTTTTTATAGGAAGCTGCAGAACTTATATTTTTATTCAGTGTTCCTCTGACATTTTTAAAACTTAGTCTCTTTCCTTATGAATTACTCGGGATAAGAACAGTAATTAACTGACTGTAAGAATTATAGTTTTGGTATTTAGTGTGTAATCTTCCTCCCAAAGAATAACTTTGGGTGCTGTATTGTCTCAATCTGGTGGCACTGTGCATGGACAAAATCCATTGTAAAACATCACTGACATGTTAAAGTTTAGGTTGGCAACACATTGAGTTGAGTTGCTAATTTTAAAATTGTATTTTTTGTCTCAATCTGGTGGCACTGTGCATGGACAGAATCCATTGTAAAACATCATTGACATGTTAAAGTTTAGGTTGGCAACGTGTTGAGTTGAGTTGCTAATTTTAAAATTTTATTTTGTCCTCGAAGGATGGCAGACTCAGAACCGGTGATCACATCTTAGAGATTGGTGGGACAAATGTACAAGGAATGAGTAGTGAACAAGTTGCTCAGGTGCTGAGGAATTGTGGAAACTGTGTTAAGATGGTGGTTGCACGAGATCCCATGTGTGAAATAACTGCAATTCCGCCAACCCCTGCTGCCCAGCCTGTTGTTGGATCAGCTTTTTTCCAGGACAGACAATTGGACACCGTGAGTATTTTAAAACTTTACAGTTCTTCACCAATTGCACAGCTAAACGTCTGTATACATAGCATTATAATAAGGTTAATGCCCTCCTAGCCTATGCCTCAATAGAAATTATAATCCAAATGAATCCCCATCATTGCCCAATATACCCCCTTTACTTAGTTACACTTACAATTTTCAAAAGTAACTAAACTGTTATGTTTTCAGTCACAGAGCCTAAATGCCACAAGCCACTGGTTTGGGGTTCAAAATGTGTTTGCTGCTAAAACATGGCTTAAAAATCTGTTTTAATTTGGCCATATTAAATTGTTTTGTTTAAACAAATCATTTTCTCAGTTTTGAATAATTAAAATTAGCAAATGCTACTGAAAGTATGCAGGAGGTCTTGAAATGTAAGCAAAGCTGTGCTTGTCCTCCATCTGTTTCTACTGTGCTGCTTTTAGATTTAGGTGTAGAATATTTTCAGAGATATGCCTTCTGTCCTGTGGTTTGTTTTTTCTGTTTTTCCCACTTCTTCTTTTCCTTCCCAACTAACTACAGTAAGGTACTGGAACTTGGGCCTTTGAAACTTGGTTTTGCAAAAGGGGGCAGGGATGGCCAGTTGGCATTTGGGGTGTGTGACTTCAGCAAATGATTTTAGATAAAAACAGCAGATTCTTAACTATTTAAAATTTTATAAGGACAGCATATTTTTCATGTGTTTTAAAGGCGGTTTTAACAGTGTTAACTAATTATTTTAGTACTGCTGTAAGCTTAATTGCTTTTATCGTTTACTGTCATAATTCATTGTAGTTTTAGCAGGTTTGCCTTTTAATAACTTGTGGGATACCTTGAGTTCCTTAATTGGGAGAAAGGCAACATAGAAATGTAAATAAATATTTAATTTAGGAAAGCAACGAACTGGGATTTCCTATGTTTACAGACAAAATAGCTCTAACAGTCTAGGGTTGCAGCCACCTTTACGTAGGGAAATATTACATTTTGCGCTCTGCGCTGAATGCAGAAATACTTGAGCTGGCTGTGCTTCAGGATGATTTGTTATTACATCTCCATTCCAAGTGCATGTAGGACTACTAGTGCCATAAAGGCGTCTGCAGCATAAGGCTGACAATTCTGTGCCCATGCTGTTTTTGTGAGCCATTTCACTGCATATCGTGATCTTCTGAACCTTTCCTTGTGTTGGTCACTTTTACCACCCCATCCCCTGGTAGCTACAAGAGCCTTCCTGAATGTTTGTGCCCTCCAGATGTGTAACTACATTACCCATCACCCATGATAATCGGTCATGTTAGTTGGGGCTGATAGGAATTGATGTCCAAGATATCTGGAGAGCCCTGCCTTGGTGAAGGCTGAGAAAGGCACAAGATCTTTTTAACTGCTTAAATAGTCCGTGTCAGAGTGCCAGGGTGGCCTGTCTGAAACATTAAGCTGAATAAATTTAATGATTTTAATGTTTTAGGAAAATGAGATTCATGAGGTTCAGCTGACTAAGAAGGATGGACAGAGCCTTGGTATAACAATTGTTGGCTATTTGGGAGCTTCTGATGCAGGTGAGCTTTATACAGATTAGTCAGTGATGGATGGAAGTGTATGGTACAGTTTGTATATTTTAAAGAGATTGTGAGGGGAATTATGAATTTAAGCACAATGTGTTATTTGCAGTTGGTCCCCCTAATTTCTTCTGAAACAAAACTATCTAGTGGCATGACCGAGCTTTGATCAAACCAAAATATGACTCTATGCTGTTAATTGCAGAAGATTTGCATTCTGTCCCAGAGCCTTTGTGATGTCACAGAGAATGATAATTAACCTTATTTTACCTTATGGGATAGTGATGGATTTTCAGTTCAGATTTAAATTTCGCCACCTAAATTTTGTACACAAATGTACAATTTTTTTCAGGGGGGGGGAACTTAATTGACTTAAACCATTATGAGAAAAGAAGCTGAGAACCCAGAGTTTAAAGTAAGCTTAGAGAAGAGAGTTCTGGTGTAGTCCTTTGTGGGATCCTAAAAGATTAAGGAAATGAGGTATTAATAGAAGCGTAATAGGAAATCAAACACTAAGATTTTCAGATATCAGTGCTGAATATGTAGAAATTAGATTTGGAAAATAAGCCTATCTAAGAAGACAGAGCATGCAACATAAATTTAAAGAATGCTTAATGGGGTAATCATGAACAATCTGCAATTTGGGTACCAGTATGCCAAAAAATGGAGGAAAGGCTTACAACCAGGGTCATGATAGTGAAGGATGCAAAAGCAGTATTCTAAATGTATTTTAAAATATTAATAGAGTTTTCCTCTCTCTTTAAAGTGGAATCTTCAGGGATTTTTGTCAAAAACATAATACCTGGCAGTGCTGCTGAACACGGTGGTCAAATAAAAGTCAACGACAAAATTATTGCTGTAAGTTCAATCTTGTCCGAGTCCTCTAACAGTCTACACTGCAAAAAGTTATCGGTGTAGATTTGCAAATTCTGGGAATAAAATAATCTGTTCTGAAATTGTCTGCTTGACTGAGGTGTCCTTCAAATGCCAGAGTGTATTTTCCTAAATAAATCCTCCTTCCTAACATGGTGCTTCATTCAAGACCCATATGATTAGTCAGTCTATGTGATTGTATGAATAATACAGTCCCTGGCCATGCGAAATTCCATCACAGAAAGCAGCTTCCAGCTGTTTGCAGCTGTGTATAAAGGGCATAAACGTTGACCACAAATTGACCTTTGTGGAAAATTCAATATAGTGTAACAGTATAGTAATCTAATGTTTGAATGCAAAAGAATTCACATTCAAGAGTCTTTCTTGCTTCCTTCTTTCCTCGGGGGTTCCCTGAACACCTTAAAAAATTGATTGTGACAGTTAAGGGTGTCTTGGAAATTGTGTGGGATATGATGCAGTGGGCTGCAGCTGGAGGAAAATATTGCTCCCGCCTGCTAAAACAGAACAGCAATGTAGGATTCAACTCATTATTTCGTTTTGCACTTGCTTGCAAGGATTTCATGGATCCAAGTATCTTTTTGGTCCGCATTGCAACTTTCCAGTACCTAGTTTCACCCTAAATTTAAATGGTTTGTTTAGCCTGATTGCCTTTTTATGTCTAAGGTGTCAGGAAGTCCTTCTGATGTTTAAGTAATATTGTTCAGTTTTGTTGGACAATATGAAGATGGTGGACACTCAGTCCTAGTTTCATTTGGACATTCACACATTCATGGACGGATCTTCAGATATAGAGACCAAAATCCTGTTGATTAGCTCAGTTAGTCACACTAGACTGGGCCCATTGAATTAATAGGATTTTGGCAAGTTAACTCTTGCATAGGTGTCTGTGATTCAAATGAACTTATTCTAACTGTGAGTGGCTTTAACATAATAAATCACAATTAGAGTAGACCCATTTGAATCAGTGGACTCTACAGAGGACTTGACTCATTGAATCCCCATAGGTTCAACATGCCTATTCTAGTGCTATTTGCCACTCTAAGCAACAGGGTTTTGGCCATTGATTTCTTTTATAATAAGCCAATTATTTTGATGTTGTGATTCAGACAATCTATTTTATGTCACTGATTACCATTTAAAGCACTGAGAGGAAATTCCAGGGTGGAGGTGAGGGTGAGTCAGAAGCAAGACTGATGTTTTAAAAACTAAATATATTTTTAGTTGCTTAAATAAATCTGTGTGATAGATATTGGCTGAAAGTATTGTAAGTCATGCTATTTAATCAGTGGGGATTTGGTGGATCAACTTCTCTGTAAGTTTTTATGAGTCAAATGAGCAACATACTTTAGTCTAGGAAGTCACATTTAGCCCATATGAATGAATTGAGCTTAGATGGAGTTGACTCACCAAGTCTCCACTGATAAAATGGGCCTACTCTAGCGTGATGTACGATGCTACCTAGCAACAAGATTTTACCCATAGTTGATTAGAATTTTGGATTTCTTGTGGGGAAAATTGTGTCTTTAAATTAAACAAAGACAAAATATAAATAAAAAATGAAGACAACAAAAACATTGTGACACCTTAAAGACTGCTGTATTTTAATGTGAGGTTTTGTGAACAAGTCCACTTCTGCAGACTAGGTAAATTAAAATAAACCACATTTTATATTAATTTCACATTACAGATCAATTATTTTTGTCGTTGTTAAAAGGAGGTTCATAAAGGAGGTATGGAGGGGAACTACAAATTTCTCAAAATCAAACAGAAGTTATGATGGCAAAACGGTGTGGGGCCAGTGATTTAAAGCTAATTGCTTGCTTCTGTGTGCATTAGGTAGATGGGATTAACATTCAGAATCATACGAATCAAGATGTAGTGGAAGCATTGCGCAATACAGGTCCAATTGTACATCTGACTTTACTTAGAAAGAAACCATTCTCTTCTGGATTGTCTTCAGAAAGGGATTTAGGCCAAGGTAAAGCTCTTCTTTCTTTTCAGTTGCATTTCCTTCCTTTCCCTCAGAAGCCACTCAAACCTATTACACACTGGTAGAGCGCTCTCCTTTTCTCTTTTGGATCTGTTATTTATGAATGTTCAAATACTAATATGTAAAGACTGGTATAATATGGTTCAAGCAGGATAAGATCTTGTACAGACCTAAATGCTCTAAGCAGCCTTATCAAAATCAAATGGCAAAGATAATCAGTGTATTGATTCAGTTTCTTGCAACTATCCTGACACCATATACGTGGCTTCAAATATAGTAGGACACAATATCTGCAAGATTACTATCCGTGGTATCAATTATCCACAGTTAACTGAAACCCTATGTACAGCATAAAAGAGGATGGGTCTTGTGGCGTTTTTCCAGCCCCCTTGTGGTCTTTATCCCACCTCCTTGTATGCTGTATACAAGGTGCACTACAATCTGTGGTTTCAAACATTCATCGTATATTCTGGAATGGATCTCTCACAGATACGAAGGTCTTACAGTACAGGTTAAAGAGTATGTGGCATGAAATGGAACTTTGGAGTGCTCCACAGCATAGGTATCATAAGATGGAGCAGAAATTCCTCCATTATACATTCTGAAACCAGACTGCTACATCATCATGCCTGTAATACCCCAACTTGCAGAAATGGTTCTGCAAAATCCCATATGCAGTGGTATCAAAACCCATGGAGAGACCAAGGATAATAAACAAAGGTGCACTCTCTGTCTCTCTTCTGGCAAAGGCTCCTATTCTCTCAGTACAAAAAGCAGCTGTAAAATAACTCTAGATAATCAGTTTCACGTGGAAGCATCTGACACTACCTCCTCCAAACTCCTTGCCACAAAAAAGAGCTCAATGACCGAATGTCTCAGGCACAAATAGTTTTTTTTAAAGGAATGAATGTCCAACCCTCTCTTTTAATGTTTCTGGGACCATTGGCCAGGCACACTAATTATATATTGGACATATCCAGATAGCCCCACCCTCCAGCAATGATACAAATATTGTCTGCAGCCCTCTGAACACTTTTTTCGTGTTCTTAACCTGTTATCAATTGAAAATAATCCAATACATTAGAAATACAGTGTTCCAGATGCCTCCATGGGTGGATGCCAAGGAAAATATAAAGAAAATAAGCAACTTTGTCTTCAAAGTGTCTTGCACAAAATAAGGTGCAACTGGGCCTCCCTGATGTCCTGTTTATCTCACATCCAGACTATATACTTCCAGAACATTATGTGGCCTGCTCCTGCAATGAATGTCTGTTCACAGTAGTTCTTATGGTCATAAATGGACCCTTGGATGCCCAGCCCTTGAACATTTTGGCAGAGCTAATATCTGCCAGCAGAAGTGTGAGAATGACAGTGTCCATGGACTGCATGTGGCCTACAAGGTCATTCTCGCACCCCATATGGTGTCATCACCCATTTTGGGGGGATGCAAAAATTGGAGGACTATATATCAGGGGGTTAAGATCGTCCTTTGAAAAAGGTACATTTCTTCAGTGTAATTGACCACATACTCAGATCCTCTAGGAAGTTACTTTCTGATCATTACCAGTTCATTTTAGATGGGCTGGTGTATCCCATAGTTACAGCAGTCCAATGTGTTTGTGGGAAATGGCTACCTTTGAGATTGATGCAGAAGCTTCAAATGGTGCAGGGTGCAGTGGCCAGACTTCTTACTGGGGTGAGAAAACATCAACATATCTCTCCCACTCTGGCGGCCTTGCATTGGCTACCTGTTTGTTTGCGCATTGATTTCAGAGTACTAATGATGACATATAAAGCACTAAATGGTTTAGGATCTCAATATCTGGCAGAATGCCTTCTCCCACTTAGATCTATCCGTATCATTCACTCTAGCCAGGAGGGGTGGCTGACGGGCCTAACGCCAAGGGAGGCCCAAAGAGAAAGAACAAGAAATCAGGCCTTCTTGGCAGTGGCCCCTCGCCTCTGGAACAATCTCCCCCCCAGAAATTTGTCTGGCTCTCTTGCTGGGCATTTTTAAGAGCCAACTTAAGACCTGGCTCATCAGACAGGCCTTCCCTCCTTCGATACCTAACTTATTTAGCCATCCTCTGGTGTAGTAATATTGTCCATTTAATTTATTTTAATACCATTTTAGCCGCCCAGAGTAGATGTCAGTCTACATGGGCGGGATATAAATTAAATAAATAAATAAAAAATTGGCACCTTGGGACTCCAGCTTCCTTTTTTTTTTCAGTCCCCTTGTCTTTATTTTTAAAAAGAGAGGGAGAGCTGCTTCCCCTCCATTCCAATTTCAGAAATGGAGCCAGATGGAAAAAGTGGCTTACATTCACATCTGGAGAGAGAACTTGCAAGAAGCCATCCAGAGATGCATGCCAGTTTGCACACTCTCTGGTGAGTTGCTAAGGAAGGTTAAAACGATGCCTTGACAGATGCTGGATAAGAAGCGGTTTGGCTGCCTGATGCTGGTGGTGAAGGGGGAGTGGGGGAGGCTGAGGAAGTGGGGGAGGCACTACTGTTACTGCCTCCCCCTGCTTTCTTTCCCCTTCTCGCTTTGGAAATGTAATCCTGGTATCCAATATTTGACAAGCCCCTGGACACAATTTACTTTGGCACAAGTAAACACATATGCTAAACTGATTCAAAAGAGGTTGTGTTCACAAGTGAGTTAAAATGAACAACCCTCTCAAGGCTGTTTTTAAAAAATGCTTTCTGATCCAAAAAAATGTGCACTTAGCTGTACATCGTGTACCTGGAAAATTTTGAATTGATTTCAGTTGTGCTAAACCTGACTCAAAACCAGGAGTATTATGAGATGTAACCAAGGCCTTACTGCTGCTGTGCTTTGTGAGAGTTCAAGAGTTTTCATCAATTACTGTATGGAAACCATCGGGAGAAATGATTGTAATGATGTAACAGCTTATTTTTCCAATCCTACACAGAGCAATTTTTCCCAGTTATTAACTAGAACAGTCTAATAATTTCTAGTACACTCTTGCATTGTCATTCCATTCTTGGAAGTGTAAAAGAGTGCTGACAGAGAACAGTGGCTTTTAATTGAATGTTTGGGACAGAGTTTAATATATTTGTGTGAAAAATATTAAGGCTATAATATCATACTTCTTTTGGATGAGAGAAATAAAGTGTTGCATGCTACCCTTGATTGTGTAACGGATGGGAAACATTTGGAATACTTACAGTGCAGCCAAATATGACAAAGTTAACCCTGTCTGGTGTTGTGGAAACTGAAACTGACTTAGATAATGAGGTGGAGGAACCTGCAGAGCAAAAAGACAACTCTAAAAATGAATGGAAGCAAAAATTGCAAGCAATGGGTAAGTTAGATACAATTTTAAAATGTCTCTTTTAATGATATTGTTGTAGTATTTTAAAAACATGTGGACCTTCTGCTTATGAAACAATTTTATCAGCTGGGTTATAAATTTACTGACTTCATGTTCAAAGAATAACTTGGTAGCATCTTACTTAAATATGGTATACAACTCATAATGAAGTACTGCCATTTGTATTATACAGATGACTTAATTGCTTCTGAAACATCTCCAAAATCTTTCAGACACATAATAGAGTATCTGCATAATCTAGGAGTCAGAAATTGTGAACTTGCTGTGGTAGAAGGGGATGAAATGGGAAACCATCCTGTAGGAAAGTTGAATCATGGATTCATAGAATCATGAAGTTGGAAGGAGCCTATAAGGCTATTGAGTCCAAATCTGGGGATATCTTCCAGGTGGTTGTCTAAATTTCTCTTGAATGCCTCCAGTGTTGGAGGACTTGCCACCTCTTGAGGTAATTGATTCCATGGCCGTTCTGCTCTAACAGAATGTTTTTCCTGATATTTAAACAAAATCTGGCTTCCTGTAACTTCCATTGTTGCATGTCCTGCACTCTGGAATGATTGAAATTAGGTCCTGCCCCTCCTTTCAAGTATTTGAAAATTGCTATCATATCACCCCTAATTCTTCTTTTCTCAAGGCAAACATGCCCAGTTATTTTAGTGTTCCCTCATAGGGCTTGGTTTCCAGCCTCCTGATCATTCTTGTTGCCCTCCTCTGAACTTATTCCAATTTGGCAGCATCCTTCTTGAAGTGCCATGTACAGAACTGGACACAAGATGAGGCCTAACCAGTGCCGAATAGAGGGGACCTAGTACCTCACGGGATTTGGAGACTATACTTCTGTTAATGCACCACAAATACATTTGGAGACTATACTTCTGTTAATACATCCAAGAATGTAATTTGCCTTTTTTGTACCCACATTATACTGTTAGCTCATGTTCAGCTTGTAATCTACAATGATTCCAACATCCTTCTTCCTTGTAATATTCCTGCAGCAGGTATTGTTGAAAAATTTGAGACACTGAGAGAAAATTTAAGTAATAAACTTTATCTAATTCTCTTAAGAAAAGGTAAACAGGACATCCTAAGAAAGCAATAAAACTGCTGAAGCTACATAACAAAACATGCCAAACAGTATAAACAAGTAGGGCGGCAGCAGCTCAGGCAATGCCCACAAATTTAGACAAGCATACATAGTCTCTGGCTCACTCAGTCAGTCAGCATCAGTGAAGTGTGGGTTTGAGAGGAGAGACAAAAATTATTAATCCCCTTTAACAGAGCTGCACTGATAAAAGGGACAGGTGATGTCTTTAAGGGAGGAGAGACAAAAATTATTAATCCCCTTTTATAGAGCCGCACTGATAAAAGGGACAGGAGATGTCTTTAAGGACATTAACCCGCAATGTGTAGAATGTTGGATCTGGCCATAACCCAAACAATGGGTAGAATGTTGGATCTTGCCATAACCCAGCAAGTATCCCCCATCTTGTAACTGTTTTTGGTTTCATTTTCCTAGGTGCAGTACTTTGCACATATTCCTGTTGAATTTCATTCTGTTTTTTAACATCCCAGTGCTCAAGCCTATCCAGATCATTTTGAATTATTTTCTGTCTTCCAGGGTATTCCACCAAATTTTGTGTCATCCACAAATTTGATTAGCATTCCCTGTATCCCCTGATCCAGGTCATTAATAAAAATGTTAAAGAGCACAGGGTCCAGGACTAAGCCCCGGGGTACCCCCCTTGTTACCTTGACTCAGTTTGAGAAGGAGCCATTAATCATCAACCTCTGATTATGATTCTGTAGCCAACTGTGTATCTACCTGATAGTTGTTCTATCTATCCCACACCTAGTTAGCTTGTTAATCATAATATCACAGGGTACTTTGTCAAAAGCTTTGTTGAAGTCCAGGTATGGTATGTCTACAGCATTCCCTCTGTTTATCAGGGAGGTTACCCCATCAAAAAAATGAGATCAGAGTTGTTCTTGACAAATCCATGTTGGCTTCTAGTTATTACTGCATTGTTTTCTAGGTGCTTGCATAGTGACCGCTTAATAATCTATTACAGAATTTTCCCTGGGATTTATGTCAGGCTGACTGGTCTGTAGTTCCTAGGATCCTCCTTTTTGCCATTTTTGAAGATAGGCACAATGTTAGCCTTCCTCCAGTCCTCTGTCACCTCACCCATTTTCTATAATTTGAAGAAAATAATGGACAGTGGTTCTAAGAGTTCTTCAGCCAGTTCCTTCAATACTCTTGAATGCAGTTCATCTGGGCCTTAGCTAACCTCAACTCATTCTCAGCTTTTGCTCTCCTAATGCCATCTCTGCAATTCACTGCTACTTGTCTGTACTCTTCCTTTGTGGCCTGGTCTCCTTGCCACTTCCTATTTGTGTCTTTATTTTTTTTTCAGATCCTGCCTGAGCTTTTTGTGAAGCAACACTGGCCTTTTTTTGCTGCCTCCCACCTTTTTTTTGTTTGTAGTTTTCTCAGCTTTTGCTCTCCTAATGCCATCTCTGCAATTCACTGCTACTTGTCTGTACTCTTCCTTTGTGGCCTGGTCTCCTTGCCACTTCCTATTTGTGTCTTTATTTTTTTTTCAGATCCTGCCTGAGCTTTTTGTGAAGCAACACTGGCCTTTTTTTGCTGCCTCCCACCTTTTTTTGTTAGAATTGTTTGTAGTTTTGCCCTTAGAATATCCTTTTTTTTTTTAGAAAACCCCACCCTTCTTGGACTCTATTTTCTTGTTAGGATCTCCTGCCATGGGACCTTACTTACCATTATCCTATTTATTAAAATTGCCTTTTTAAAAATCCAGCATATATGTGTGGCCACACTCTGCTTTGGTTTCCTTTGAAATCAAGAATTCTAGTTGAATAATATGTTCAATAATTTGCTCTTCCTCTTTCTGTTCCATCCATTTTCCTTTCATGCTGTAACTCTCAGAAAGGCCAGAGTCTGGGACTCTCAGTTGCCAGCTGTATGTAAAGCACTCCAAGATTCATTTTGGTTGAGAAGCAGTATAAAAACACTGTTCATAAGTATTCATGATTAAATCTGCATGTGTAGGCAGCAGGTAACAGCTTTAGCAAAGAGGAGTGGAAGCTGAAACATTTTTCTGTCAATGAACCCTCTCTGTGCCAAGGTGCCTCTAGTGCTTTTTTTGTTTTTAAGGTGCATTTTGCTTCAGATTTAGAAATGCTAGTATTTTTGTTTTGAAACTGATACACGACTCTCAGTTGCCAGCTGTATGTAAAGCACTCCAAGATTCATTTTGGTTGAGAAGCAGTATAAAAACACTGTTCATAAGTATTCATGATTAAGTCTGCATGTGTAGGCAGCAGGTAACAGCTTTAGCAAAGAGGAGTGGAAGCTGAAACATTTCTCTGTCAATGAACCCTCTCTGTGCCAAGGTGCCTCTAGTGCTTTTTTTTGTTCTTAAGGTGCATTTTTGCTGCAGATTTAGAAATGCTAGTATTTTTGTCTTGAAACCAATACTGCAATTGACAAGTAATGAGGACTTCTCTGTAACTCAAAAAGTCTGTAAGTCAAGCCGTCTGTAAGTCAAGGGTCCACTGTACTGCAGTTGACAAGTAATGAGGACTTAAAGTAATGCTGCTTTCACAATCTCTGTGCATTCACAAAGTAATAGGAATGATGCTAAAACAGATTGCTGCATGTAGTTCTACATCCACAGTTTTGGCATTGTGTGCATTCACAAAGTAATAGGAATGATGCTAAAACAATCTAAGTGACTTGCTGCATGTAGTTCTACATCCACAATTTTGGCATTCTGTAAAATTCTGTTTTATTACAGAAAGGTAAAAAACCATCTAAGATACCAGAAAACAAAATAATGTTTCCACACTGGCAAATAAATTAATCTTTCCTTAGGTTTTGCTGAAGAACGAAGAGCAGCCATTTCATTTCAAACATGGTTGATGCTAAAGCACTGTCTGTAAAAATTCACCCTGAAGTAGCATTTAATGGCCAAATTAAATTCCAAAAATAGACATATATTGGAAATGCTGACAGGCACTTAATTATAACAGCACTAAAGTAAAACACCACTAATTTAATGTATTTTCTAAATGCTGGAAATGCCTTTCTAACTTGATGTTAAAAAGTGTGTTTTTTTAAAAAAAAAATCATTATTTTTCCAAGTGCAATTGTGCTAAACTTTAATTTACATTCCTATTTCAGGAAGGGGTTTGAAACTCTATTGTAGACTAGCAGATACAACCACTCTTAAATAGTAGTGCAAGTACTTAAATATGTTTGACCATAAGGGGGGAATTCTTTAAATGCTTTGTTATTTTGGTGAATGGTGGGAAGCCTTTCCTTAAACAATGTGTTGCACACATGCCACTACAGTGCACATGCTTGGTGATGTGCCCCTCCTAGGCGCAGCTTTCACTGTCCTCCACTTTGTGAACATTTAAATGCTGTCGCCCCAGTACACTTGTATACTTAAGCGGACACCTCAGTCAGTCCTGTGAGCAGTGTTCAGTGAGTGTCTGCATTATTAATGCAATGTCACTTTTTAATGCAATCTGTGATGTATCTTTTCAAGTTTTGAATGCTGTGTAAATGCACTGTCTGTTCACCTTTCTGTTGTATTTTAGTCCAATAATGGGCTATTTATTTACAGTTACAACATATAAATTTGAAATAACTGCAAACCATATTAATTGCAACCATTTTGCTTTTATGAAGAGTGCAATTTATGGAAATGGACTGTCAAGGGGTATGCAAGTAAAAAAAAAAAAGGTTGGGAACCACTGCTGTGAATCATCGAATCCAGTGTCATATTTAAGAATGAGTTATTATAGTATACGTTTTTTATGGACATACCATGGAAGCTCAACTGCAGTAAATTTAGTTTTCAAGATGCCATATGACTCTTTGTTATTTTGCTGCAACAAGTGAGACCTGAGCACGAAAGTAATATATTTGACTACGCTGTTGGGTTCACCTCCTAGAAAAGTCAGTTTTAATTCCCCATTCAGGGACAATGAGTCTTAGAGGTAAGAAGTGACCATTTCACCTACACATTTCACGTATGTTGTTTCACTTACATAAGTATGAATTGCTAACTGGATTCTGGGCAGAGGTTTTGCTTTACAAAAATACTGTTTGCCAAAACTCTTGTCCTTGATTTTCAGGATTTGAAACTGTTTGTTTTATTATACTGATCTAGTGTTACAAATTATCCAGTACCTACACACACAATGTTAATCCAGAATACCAACTAATATTTAAGGATGTCTAATATTAAAGAATTTAGTCCTCCTGTTGTTTTTTCTGTAAAGAATTGTATCCCACGAACTAACTGTATAATTCTGCACGCCCACAATGCAGTCCTTTGCCTTTTCTGTTTCTTGGTAGGGAGGCTTACTTCTGCAAATCCCTCCTGATAAGTAAGGGTGCAGTCCTCAATAGCCAAGATAACTGAAGCCTGCCCAAATTGCCTATAAGCCGTGTGAAGCTGTGCTCAATTCAAATAACTCATTGCATAGAAATATTGGGAATGACTTGGGATCTACCCTGACTTTGGTCTGACTTTGTGCTGGTGTAGTAACTGTACATGTGGTCTGAGAGGTGTTTCAGTCTGGAAAAGCTGCATTCCTCCATCAACTCCTCCCCTTATTTCCCCCTTTTTTTAGCTTTGGTAGGGAGGCTTTTCAGCCAATGCACAATTTCAGCCAATGCACTTTGAGTTTGGATTACGCCGCAAGACTCACTATATTATATGGGATCTATTTTGACATAACAGTAAACATAAAATTGCTATATAACAGTGCTTATTTAGGACAGTTTTGCAACTATGTACCTTTGACAAAGTATTCAAGTGTTTCAAACCAGTGGTGTAGAGAGAGCTTTCATGGCAGATAACTTAAATTAATGTGATAAAATTATGTGTGCTCTTTCAAAACATTACATAGAACTAGGTTTACATAAAACGTTTTCCTTAATTTAGTAGAGTTCTTTTCTGTGTTGGATATTCAAGGGAATGCAGTCTCAGAATCTTAAAACAAAACAAGCAAACAAACAAAAAACCCAACAAAAATCTGACCGTACAGCTGAGGTGAGCAGCCCAAAATGACAACAGAGTCGACTATTTGAAGGAAAATCAATGAACATGAAATACCTGGAACCTGATCCTGTGCCTGTTTGCTTGGAAATAAACCTTGCTGATTGCAGCAGGACTTTTTCTTTAGGTATAATGTTAGAATAGCAGGCTGAATCTGTTTGTTGTAACTCCACTGTATATTAACAGGTTTGATGGGTTTCTTTTTCTGTTACAAGAAAAGTGAAATTTTGCAAGACTAGCATTTTAGTCCAATTTGCTCTCTTCATTTAAACCTCTAGACAAGCAATGCTTTTGGTTTTATGTTTCAACTAATTGACAATGTTGTCTTCTTGTGCTTTTCTGGCCATAATATACCTTGCAGTGGACTTAATTGTATACACTGTACTTGTATATATTTATATATATTTATTGTATGTGTGTCTATATAGGCTATATATAGGCAATATACTATATACTCTCTCTGTGTGTATACACACACACACACACACACACATGTAGTATAAACATATAATGCATATGGTTTTAGAAAGAAAAAAAAGTAACTCAGTGTATAGTAGGATTTTAGATGAAATGCTGCTCAGATTAAATGTCCTGTGTCTTGTCCAGAGTTATAACAAAATAGGCTATAAAAAGCAACAGAATATGGTAAACATTTTTTTTCAGTTTCTGGCACTGTTAGTTGAATAAATTTTTTGTCTTCATGTAAATGCTTCTGATGGTTAAATATAACCTCGATATAATTAAAAAAAAAATAAGTACACAACAGTATGGAGCTTCTAGCTGGGGTCAGCTGCAGGGCATATTATGCTGTCTAGCCGTGTCAGACTGGCTCACATAGCTGTAATACTGCCTGGTTATATAAGTAAGAAAGATACACATGTCAAGATTGCTAGGTTCCCACGGAAGAATGCTTTTATGTAAAAGTTCATGTTACTTAATGGCCTTATTGAGCCAAGCAGGACTTTTATATTGGCCAAATGTATAAACAAACTTTGTGGTTCCATTTTGGTGATATTGCTCTCAACAAGATATCGGTGCAACTGGGAGATGCCCTAGGTCCTGGCAACTGAGCATTTATAAATGCCAACCAGTGATAAAATCAGGTAAAACTAACCTTGAACCCAGGAATGTATGATTGATTTATACTATAAAACAGTGCAGTCCTAATGTTTCATCCATTCAGCCATCAGGAGTTGCTTACTTTGTACTTCTATAAAACTCTTGACTGATTTATGCTGCATAAAAGTCTCCCAGTCTTCTACTGAAGTGCTGCTGGGTTTTTTTTAAGGATGAGTGTGTTTTATCAAAATGTAATGAAATAAATGTACTTTCTCAAGAACTGATTTCCATATCAATGTTTATATTCAGGGGAAAACCCAGAGCCATCAGAAAACAAGCTGAAATCCAAGTGGGAAAAATTGTTGGGACCTGATTTTGAAGTTTTGGTATGCTACCCATATATTTGTGTGTGTTACTTAAATTACTGTGGTTAAAATGCTGCTGGTTTTTCCCATGCCTGATGGTGCAGTTGCAAAAGCCAGAATAGCTAGCAGAGATAATTTAACAGGGCATTCGTGGCATGCCTGGTAGTGCATCCCATGCCTCATTGGTTTCAAATAGCACAATCGTGCTGCAATGTGCAGAGGAAAAAACCCTACAGGATTTGGGCCTGTGGGATTAACATTACATATAGTTTATGACTATGTTTCATGGGAGAAGCTGTAGCACTATGGTTTATTATTCATTCATTCATTCAACTTCTATAGCACCCATTTGGCTACCAATGCCACAGTTGATGATCATTATGAATACAGTCCATTTACCGGATCCCTTGCATCCAGGTTTTCATTCACATAGACAGTGATGCCTCACATAACGAGCGTACCGTTTAACAACGAATCCACATAGCGATGCGTTTTTTGCGATCGCTTTTGCGATCACATTGCGATGTTTAAATAGGGTAAACATCGCATTGCGATGATTGGTAAGTGTTTCGCTTACCTATCTTCGCATTGCGATGTTTTGGGAACAGCTGATCGGTGGTTCCAAAATGGCCACCGGATCAAGAAAATGGCCGCCTGCAGCGTTTTCGCACCGTGCCCTCGCTTACCGAGACAGCGAAAATGGCAGCCCTGTGGAGGATTCCTGCTTAGCGGTGAGTTTATCCCCATAGGAACATTCCTATGGGGTTTTTTGTCCCGTATAGTGACGTTTCAGGATAGCGACAATTTATCCGGAATGAATTATCGTCGCTATGTGGGACACCACTGTATATATGAAAGAAAACCTGGCTGCAAGGGACCTGGTAAACGGCCTGTGGGATTTTGGCCTGTGCAATTAACATTACATACAGTTTATGACTATGTTTGGTGGGAGAAGCTGTATAGATAGATAGATAGATAGATAGATAGATAGATAGATAGATAGATAGATAGATAGATAGATAGATAGATAGATAGATCTANNTCTATCTATCTATCTATCTATCTATCTATCTATCTATCTATCTATCTATCTATCTATCTATCTATCTATCTATCTATCTATCTATCTATCTATCTATCTATCTATCTATCTATCTATCTATCGGCATGCCTCAATTAGCACAATTGTGCTACCCTATGCAGAGGAAAAAGGGGTATATATATTTAGCAGCAGCATAACTACACGATCCTGTTACTCCATTCCCAGCTATCTTAGAAATGTAATTATGAGAAGCTTGGTGACATCATCATCAGCTACCAAAAATTGCATTATTAGAACTTCTCTGCTGTAAACTAATTCTGGACCATTGAATTTGTCTTTGAAACAATAAGCTGTTGTTTTTTCTTTTGTTTGATGCCTAGGTTGTCACTGCAAACATGCCAATTGCCGATGACAGTGAGCTGCAGAAATATTCAAAGGTATTGGATCTTTCTTTTCCCTTTCCCTTTCAGCAAAATGTTAGAACATTCATATCCATGAAGCTACAAACCAGTTTCATAGATTTAAATGTTTTTGAAACTGGGGGCAAGTTCCACATTTGTTCATCCTGGGCATTAATTCATTCAAAAAACTTGGATTGAAATCTTGTGTTTGTTCTACTTGTCCAAAGGTCCATGCAGTTGCATTTTTTTAAAAAAAAAAATCTTGTGCAAAGAACTCTTATGTCAAAAGACACCTACTGCCTTCTTGTGCAAATGTAAAGCCCTCTTCACTTCAATGGAGTGATCTCCAGCTTGGCAAGCCGGAGGTCCTGTAGAGTTTATATTGGAGGAGGGTTGTGCTGCACCATCCCAAACAGGATCCTGGCCTCTACCCTTCATTTTTTTTCATAAAGTATTGCCTTAAATGGCTGGATTACATGACAAGTAAATGCCTTGTTGCTTTTAAAAGGCTTGATGAATGCTGCTGCCCTCGGCTATTCCTTTTCATGGAATTGAGGTGTTGTTGTTTTGTTTTTGTATTTTGTTTTCCTTTTTTAAAGAATCTTTCACCTTTACTGCCAGCTAGAAGCAGTTGCGATTGACTACTTAGCTATGAGTCACAACCTCTTCGCTTGTTCCTTAATCTGGCACAAGTGGCTAAACTAACCAGAAAAGAAAGGTTTACTGTGTCATCCTGACTGAGGTTCTAGGCTTGTTATGGCTGCTACAAACCAGTGTTTGTTCTTCACTTATGGTTCTCAGTTTGTTTGAAAGAAACAGTTTCCCTGTCCTTGTCAAATGAGGATATTAAAATGCAACACCATTATTAAGTTGGAATAATATTCGGTTGATTCAGTTTGTGAAATGCTCTATTGTCCAGAGAAAATGTAATTCAAAAAATTCCCATTTGATTGCTTGATTTTTCTGACTTGTTTTCAACAGCTGCTTCCTATTCACACGTTGAGGTTAGGGGTTGAGCTGGATACATATGAGGGACATCATTACATATCTTCAATTGCAACTGATGGCCCGCTTGCTAAACTTGGTCTACTGCAGTTGGAGGACGAGCTTTTAGAGGTACTGTTCATATTGCATATAAAGTAACAGCAATGCTACTTGTCCTGCAGTGTCCTAATGTTTTATTGGCAGAAATCCTGTTCATGCATCTGTGTTATGTAAGGCTCATGACATCATCAGGTGTGGCAAATTTTCAGAAGTAAAAAAAAATCCCTATCTTCCCCAAATACCATAAATTTCTTCACCTGATTTTTCTCACATTTACAGGGGGAAAAAACAGTTCCTGCTAATGTAACAAGGATCCTAGCTATCAAGTGTGCTTCAGATGCATCCGCTTGTTCCTGAAAGTTTGTCTCCCCAATATTCAGCAAGAAATCAATAGTTTAATTTTAATCTTTCATACATGTGGAACTGGATAACAACCCCTTTCTAAAAATAAAAGATTGGCAGACTTGAAGGTTTCCTTGGCTTGTGGATTTGCTTATGATGTTGTAACATAGGCAGAGACTCACTGAAGAATGGCTATTGAGAATCAGTCTTACTCCAGCTGCCTTTGGTTCAATTGCTAACTTAGTTCTTTACTGCTGCTTGTACAAGACTGTCAATGCTTATATAATAGCGCCTGCCACTGTAGCTTTTATGGACATGAAAACTGTTGCGTTAGAAGGCCAATTAGTCACATGCAGTTTGCTTGGCACTAATTTGTACTACAGAGGTTCCCCCGAACAATGTGATATTAGTATGCAATAACTATTATTTTAAACTGCAATCCATTTAGTATATAGGGGCTTTCTACATTCTTTCAGGAAAAACTAATACGCAATGTGGAAAGAGCTGATGTAGAAATAATCACAGTGAGGAAGAACATTAATATCATATAACAATTATGGTCATTTAACATATTATTTTACAAGAGGACAAAGTTGCACAACATTTATATATGCTAATTTATATGTATAGAAGCAAATGTGATCAGAAGACTATGCTTGCTTGTTCTGTTGTCAAGATGGTATTTACTGGTAATAGAACTAAAGGCTTGTGTTGGTGGGTTGTTGTTGTTTGGTCAAACCAGAGTTGGAAGGGACAGCCTTTCAAATATGGGATAACTTATTATATTCTTTAAGGCTCCTTGAAAATATTTGAAAATTAAATTTTAGATTTATGGCTAACACTTGGCCATAACCACTCCTCGTTTTTCACTGGAATCCTCAATTAAATACTTTTAATGTATATTTTTGGGGAGACACGTGTCCTTCCATTGGAATAGGCCAAAGTAAACAGAAAAGTATATGTCTTTTGGAAGCCAGGCAATTGCCTTTCAGTAAATGAATGAGTGTTTTCTTTTCTCTGTCTAGGTAAATGGTGTTCAGCTCTATGGAAAATCCCGCCGTGAGGCAGTTTCTTTTCTTAAGGAAGTGCCACCTCCATTTACCCTTGTTTGTTGTCGGCATCCGTTTGATGATGGCACAGAGTCTTTTGTTGATGACCCTTCAGGCACTATCACCTGCTCTCCAGAACCAAAGGTAAAAAAAAGGATAAAGATTCCCATAGGTAAATTTCAGCTTCTCAAAGATGGTAGGTTTTGCTCTTGCTTTTAGCAAGAGCTCTTGCTCTTATTTTGCAGTTCAATTTAATGGTAAATTATAGCTGTGGATGATAATCACAATTAGTATAAATAGTGGAAACGGGGTAAAAAAGAATTGGCTGGGAAAGCAAATGCAGGCAAGCCAGTTCCTTGTTTGTCAAGGAGAATCAGACAGTTTCTGGTCAAAAAAACCCTGAAAAATAAGAAAAGTGATAAATTCTATAGCTCACTTGTTCCACAGTAATCTCTCTGAAAGAAATTCTAGAGTGGGTCAATCTGTGGCTTTTGATCTCTTCCATTTTCCTTTAAATACATAGTAGATCTTCTTGTGGCATTCCTTTCCCAAGGAGAACCTTGTTATCTGAAGTAAAAATGGAGTGACTGTGTGTGGGCCTCTGGGCCCTTGCCACTCCTCCTAATGGCCCCTGAAGGCACAGCCACACAAACATGCTTATACAAATGGTGAGGGTGGGATGGGGAAATTGAAAAGCCATCCTGCCTTAAAACAAACTGTGCGCCTCACTATTGCACCTTGTTTTAGTTCCAAACATACACACATAAGGTTTGTAAAACCAAAGTCCAGTTGCCTTTTGGGGCGTGTAAGGGGCAGCTCTGTCTGAGTCCAGAGATCTGGAAACTGGCTTCTTGCCTACCGCTACTCAAGGGATAGACAAGTTAGAGCTCTTCTGTAAGGACTGGAAGGAATGAATGAGTGATTTTTCTAATTTTTATTTTATTCTTATTTTTATTTTATTTTTTACTTTGGGTAGCAGTCCCACCTGAAAGTAAGTGAGGGAATCCATCAGGAGGCCTTTTCTGATTATTCGGGTGGTTGCCATTCGAAGAGAAAAAGACATGTCCTTGTGTATGCACTCAAACTTTTTGTGCATTGACATAGGTTTTATTTGCCTCCAGCGTATTATTCTATCAGGAAAAAGAGGATGTTTCATGTAGTCTTATTTACGTAGTGCAGAAATGACAGGAGTCACCTCCCTTCTTTTTAAGTGAGCAGCATTCACTTAAACTTGGTAATTTCTGAAACTCAAGCTCTGCTTCTTCATATTTTGTAAAACGGGTATGGGCTTCTGCACCAATGTGACACCAATATTTTAGCAAAATGTACTTTCTCTCAGAGATATTTCATGTTTGTGATTTTACTACTTTTACTGTAATTGGAAACTCCTGGTGCCTTATCTAGGAAGGTGGCTAGAAACATCATTGTACTAATGATACAAGGTATGTAAATCAGGGGGTCGACATGCTGACGGTGTACATCCCATTCATCATTCCTTAGTTTAATAAGGAAGCAAAAGCTTTGAATTATACCCAGTCACAGAACCTCCATTAGCTGATTGCTTCCATCTTGGGAACAAAGGACCTGATGCAAACAGAAAGATTGTAATTTTAACTATTAACATTTCTAAAGGTCCCAGATTCTGGCTTTCAGTGTTTCCACAATAAACATTTGCTCCTGGGGCTCCTTGTTCCATTAATATGTATCTTCTTGATATATGGGCATCCTGCTCTGATTATATAGAAGCAAATATCCCATTCAACTGACAGCGCAGTGCACAGTTACTTTATATATGTTTATGTATGATCATTTAGAGGGATTTTTAAATAAACTGCATATATGGATAGTTTCCACTGAGAATACTTAATACACATTCATTTTTGTGAATGTCTCTAAATATTACTTCCAGGTCTATGCTATTAAAATACCAACACTACTGTTTTTTTGGGCCTGCTCAAGGTAGTTTGCTGCCTGAGGTGAAGCAGAGTATGTTACCCTCAACTTACTGAGTGCACAGGGCATAATACCTCATGACTGATATGTTATTTTGGCATGTGAGGTGGAAAATCTCAGAAGGATACCTGCCAATCACAGAGTAAATAACCATTTCTTGACTTTAATGTGATACAAAATCTACTGTCTGAGGAGGGTGCTTCCTGGTATGGCTAACCCTGTGAGATTTCTTCTCCTCTCAAATCCATGTGCAAATGGTAGACCAGACCCCAAAACACTGTTCCCTACACATTTTTAAAAATAGTTTGATGTTGTTTTTATTTATTGAAACAAGGTAATATATGCCAAAATCCTGTTGTTCGGCTACACTGGCAGAAGTGCAGTGCTATAAATAGCAATGGTGAATTGCTGCTTGTTAACAAGACACCATTTGTATCCATTGCCACATTTGAGTCACAAGTTAGTGCACTTCAAGGGGCTAGTGATTGAAATTTACACACTTGCACGTAGAAGAGCCATAAACTATATATCCCATCTTAATTCCAGAAAACAGAATAAGACATCTTCAATATTTTCCAAACAGCAGAAATAATTGGAAAAGACCTATTTAGAGCCATCCTGAGTAAAAGTATTTATGATTTATCTAAATCTAGAAAAAGATGAGACCAATCTGATAATTTTAGAAGGGAATTTCAAAATCAGGGTCCTGCATGAGAAAAAGCCGTTTCAATTGAGCATCTCCTGGTGGAGCAACACAATGGCCAAAGTCCTGTGGTTCAGTGTAGTAAATTGCAACTAGTTTTAGGCCCATTGAATGAAAAGAGCAGTTCACTCACCTTACCACTGATTCAATGGGAGTATTCTAGTTGCAACTTACTGTAGTAAGCAACAGGATTTCAGCCTACGTGCAGCTTATTATGGAGATAGTGAATTATTAGAAGGTTCGTATGGAAAGAAGTAGGTTTTCAGTTATCATGGCACAGACCATTTATGATTTAAAAATCAGCACCTGAGTTGTGTCTAGAAACAAAGTGGAACAGGGAAAATCACATGCACAAATATAGTGGTTGGTGTGATATGGTCTATACCAGCCATTCTCAGTGAGAGCATATGACCACCTGGGAGTCCCTGGCATATTTGAAGGGGGCCACAGACTGGAAGCAATTTTTCATACACCGTCTTATAAGGTTCATTATGTGACCTAGCCAATCCCGATTCAGCCTACATTTCTTTCATATTGTGTTTATGGCTGCAGCAAAAAAAAGTTGAGAATGACTGGTCTACACAGTGCACTTAAGTAATATGGCTTCTGCATTATGTGCTTATTGCTGTTTCTAAACAGCCATCAAGAGACCTATACAAGGAGAATTAATCACTGCAACATTATTCACTATGGCCAGATGTCTTCATGAAAGCATAGAGCTGGAACATCAGCTACAGCTGGGCAAAGGTGCTCTTGCCCCTCCCAGAACAATGCTGGAGCCAGAAACATGCTCAATCTGGAGACCTGATCCTTCAGAGGCAATGCTATGCCACCCGGAGTGGTCTTTACCTCCAGTCACAGAGTGACTTGCTTATTAATAAAAACAGCCACAGTTTTCGCTGGACTGAGTCCACATCGAGACAAAGGCTAGGTTATGTGCTGATCTTCAAAAAGGGAGAAAAAAGGGCCCAAGAAACAATCAAATAGTTAATTTGTAGTTGCAGTTAGGAAAGATTGTAGAACATATCACTGCACTAGCTGAAATCCAGTGATAAGTTGCAAGTAGAATAGGCCAATTGAATCAGTGGGGATTTGACGAGTCAATCACTATGTAAGTTCCATTGGTTCAAGACTACTCTAGTTGCATCTTAAAACTGGATTTCAGCCTGTGATTGTTAGCAGCCAATAAATATTTCTCAGATGCAAGTCATACCTGCTGCAGGGTTTTGAATGTTGGTTAAAACATCCAGCTGCGCAACAGAAGTGCAGGGACTCACAGAGCAGAAATATCTTCAAGTCTCCTCAGAGTAGACCACCCCTTCCTATTCTTATCAATGGCTGGCCGCCGGAAGGTCCGCGCCACATTTTCGCGCCCTGCCCTCGCTTACCGAGGGCGCGAAAATGGCGGCGCTATGGAGAAACATCGCTTAACGGTGAGTTTTCAAGCCATAGGAACGCATTGAATGAAGTTCAATGCGTTTCTATGGCTTTTTTATTCCCGTTTAGCGATGTTTTCGCATAGCGAAGGTTAATCCGGAACGGATTAACCTCGCTATGCGAGGCAGCACTGTACTCTAGTTGCATCTTAAAACTGGATTTCAGCCTGTGATTGTTAGCAGCCAATAAATATTTCTCAGACGCAAGTCATACCTGCTGCACGGTTTTGAATGTTGGTTAAAACCTCCAGCTGGGCAACAGAAGTGCAGAGACTCACAGAGCAGAAATATCTTCAAGTATCCTCAGAGTAGACCACCCCTTCCTATTCTTATCAATGGCCATTTACAGTCTCAATAATTCACTCTGAGACATTGGTAAGAGAAAGAATAAAAGGTTCCATTTACTCACCTTTGAACAGATCAAACAGTATACTGTACAAAATTGACTGCTTACAATAGCAGGTTTTAACAGACTCACAGACTGCTTCCAGCAGACTCCTGCAGACCACATTCTAACTGGATGGGTCTGAACATGTTTGTGATTAATCTGGTGAAAAGGCTAGGTTACTTATGGATATGTTTGAACTTGCTTATGGAAAATGTGAAATGTCATAGAAATCCTTCTCCTATTATTAACTAACTGTCAGCAGACTAAAAAAGAGGGGAAAAGACACCTAAACAGAGAAATTGTTAGCAGCCAATAAATATTTCTCAGACGCAAGTCATACCTGCTGCACGGTTTTGAATGTTGGTTAAAACCTCCAGCTGGGCAACAGAAGTGCAGAGACTCACAGAGCAGAAATATCTTCAAGTATCCTCAGAGTAGACCACCCCTTCCTATTCTTATCAATGGCCATTTACAGTCTCAATAATTCACTCTGAGACATTGGTAAGAGAAAGAATAAAAGGTTCCATTTACTCACCTTTGAACAGATCAAACAGTATACTGTACAAAATTGACTGCTTACAATAGCAGGTTTTAACAGACTCACAGACTGCTTCCAGCAGACTCCTGCAGACCACATTCTAACTGGATGGGTCTGAACATGTTTGTGATTAATCTGGTGAAATGCTAGGTTACTTATGGATATGTTTGAACTTGCTTATGGAAAATGTGAAATGTCATAGAAATCCTTCCCCTATTATTAACTAACTGTCAACAGACTAAAAGAGAGGGGAAAAGACACCTAAACAGAGAGGCACCTAAAAAGAGAAACAAGAGGCAGGGAAGGAACTAGACATGGCATATTTGTATTTGTATCTCTCAGGAGACAAATACGAATATTGGAGCCCCTCCCCCCCGAATCAGCCAGCTCTTCATGTGTCATGTGCCAATTGTGGAAGTAGCACAGCTGGCACTTCCCCACCTCTCTACACAACCGACCACTCAGCAGCTGAGTGAGGAAACTTGTTATCCCACTTTCTTGCTGGAGTGGTTGACTGTGCAGAGAGGTGGGGATATACTAGCTAGGCTACTTCCATCGTTGGAGTGATATGACTGATGATGGCTGTGCACACTGCACAGAGAGCTGTAAGTGGACCAGCTGGTTCTGGGGGGGGGAGTATCTGGTTTGCACAAGCATCTGTGGTGCCAATATTTGTATTTGTATCCCTTGGGATACAAATACGAATATCTCATGTCTAGAAGGAATTAAAGACAGCATACAAGGTTGAAATAATTCCAATGATTTTATATTAATCTTACCTCATAGTCATATGCTTAGTAAATCAAAAGAATACTATTGCGGTAGTCTATATTGAAACCAGTAAGACTTTTGACAAGGTCTGGACAAGCTGATAAAATATAGGATAGATGATGCCACTGTTAGGTAAATTTGCAGCTGTGCTGATGAATCATATCTAAAGAATGCTCACGAATGGGTCCTTATCATGATGTACAAGAAATTTCTCATTGAGAAATGACATGTGGAATCCTGGAGGGATCTGTCCTGTCCATTTTTATACTTAGATGAATAAATAAAGCTGATACCCATCAATTTTGCAGATAAGAGGGAACCGGGAGAGGTATCTAGTATCTCAAAAGATGGAATCACAACTCAAGATGACCTTGAAATATTTGAGAACCAGGATGAAACAAAGAGGTTATCAACAAGAATGCATTTACAGCTCTCTATTTTGGCAGATAAAATCAGATTCTACTTCCTGTTCATTTATTTCTTCCATTTTTATACTGTCTGATTAGTGCAAAGCACTAACAAATAAGCAAGGTAAATACAAATTAAGCAGCAGTAAATAATAAAAATGAAAAGATAAGAGCAAACCAGTAAGTAAAACAGTATTAAAACAACACACCAAGAACAGACAGGCAGGACAATTTTGACAGTTATATTAAATGATACCACTAAAAGCTTCTTTAAAAAGCACTGTTTAAGTAGCCTCTTGAAGACGGGGTGGGGGGGGAAGAGATGAACAAATAGAGAATGGGTGACACTGCCTTGGCAGTATTGTGCATGAAAAGAACCTAGGGATGTTCACAAGCTGAAAATGATTCACCAGCATGATTTTGTAGGTGGGTGGGAGGTTAATGTAATTGTATGCCACATCAGCATAAGTATAGTACCCAGATCAAGGGAAGTAATAGTATCAATCTTTTCTGCATTGGCAAGACTTCATCTGAAATATTGGCTGAAATCCTGTTGCGCAGTTATGCAAGTGCTATAATGCTTGGAAGCAAATTGGAGTAAGTTAAGAAATCTCAATAGACTTAATCTGTTGCATAACAAATTGTACAACTTGGCATGAAACAGGTAAGGTATATGAAGATTTCTTTTAAAACTTTCAACAAGTCACCTTTAAATGATACACTGTGCAATGGGATTTCAGCAATTGCACCCAAAATTGGGCATCACAGTTTAAAAGGGATAGTCTAGAAACCCATGTCTATGAGAAAGAGTTGAGGGAGTTGACTGACGGCTGTGTTAGACTGGAGAAGAGAGGAGGAGGAGGAAGCCGCCTAGAGTGGTCGTAATTGACCAGATAGGCGGGATATAAATAAATAA